TTAGGTATTTATATCTTAAGAACATTGTGAATTGTATAATGTTTGTGCTTTTTATCTTTACCTGAATACCAGAAAGATGACAGGTAAATTTGCATTCCAAATCAAAGAAATTATGCAGTAACTTAAACATACATTTTGTGTACAAATGTAACTCTTGAATTTATGTTTTCCTATGTTCATTTTTTTCTTTGCTCTATTTCTCCATTTATTTACTTACTTTGGGTTTCATCATTTTATTTATTTACCTAATGAACAAACAATAACTGAATACCTATCATATAGCCATATATTAGGCATTTCACTAGTGTCCTGGATACAATGATGGGTACATATGACCTCTACCTCTAATACCTCACAGTCTAGTAGGGAAGGCATTCACTTAAATTGATATACTCTAGATTATGATCAACATAATGATGAAGAGATTATAAAGTAATATTGGTACATAAAGGGAAAAAAACAATCCAACTTCATCAGATAAAGCTTTCTGAGGAAGAGATAGCTAAGTTGAGCCCTAAGTAAAAGTTAGTCAAATAAAAAGTGAGGGGAACAAAACTCTAGAAAAGTCAAACACAGCTAAAGCAGTACTGAGGAGAAAGTTTATTTCCATAAATGCCTATATCCAAAATTCGAAAAGATCACAAAGAGAAAACCTAATGAATCGACTCAAAGAGCTGGAAAAAGAAGAACAGACCAACCTCAAACCCAGCAGAAGAAGTGAAATCATTAAGATCAAATCAGAATTAAATGAAATTGACAACAGGGAAACTATACAGAAGATTAATAAAACAAAAAGTTGGTTCTTTGAAAAAATAAACAAAATTGACATGCCTTTGGCTAGACTAATGAAAAACAGAAAAGAAAAATCTCTAATAAGCTCCATCAGGAACAATAAAGGAGAAATTACAACTGATGCCACGGAGATACAAGATATAATTTATGAATACTACAAAAACTTTTATGCACACAAACTGGAAAATGTGGAGGAAATGAACAAATTCTTAGAAACACGCAGCCTCCCTAGGCTCAACCAGGAAGAAATAGAATTCCTGAACAGACCAATATCACGTACTGAAATTGAAACATCAATAAAAAAACCTTCCTAAAAAGAAAAGTCCCAGATAAGATGGTTTCACACCTGAATTTTACCATACCTACAAAGAAGATCTGGTGCCTATCCTGCAGAAATTATTCCACAACATTGAGAAGGATGGAATCATCCCCAACACATTTTATCAAGTCAACATAACCCTGATACCAAAATCACGAAAGGAAGCAACAAAAAAAGAAAACTACAGACCAATATCCCTTATGAATACAGATGCAAAAATTCTCAACAAAATTCTAGCTAATCATAATCCAGGTGCTTATCAAGAAAATAATCCATCACGACCAAGCGGGCTTCATCCCAGTGATGCAGGGATGGTTTAACATACGCAAATCTATAAATGTAATTCACCATATAAACAGAAGCAAAAACAAAGACCATATGATCCTCGCAAGAAAAGCATTTGACAAAATTCAACACCCGTCTATGATAAGAATGCTTAATAAAATAGGCATAGACGGGGCTTACCTAAAAATGATACAAGCCATATATGACAAACCCACAGCCAACATTATACTGAATAGGGGAAAATTGAAAGCATTCCCACTTACAACTAGAACAACGCAAGGTTGCCCACTATCTCCACTTCTATTCAACATAGTGCTGCAAGTCCTTGCTATAGCAGTCAGACAAGAGAATGGAATTAAGGGCATCCAAATGGGAGCAGAAGAGAACAAACTCTCACTCTTTGCTGATGATATGATATTATACCTAGAAAATCCCAAGGATTCAACCAAGAGATTCCTTGAATTGATGAATGAATTCAGAAAAGTCTCAGGATACAAAATCAATACACAGAAATCAGAGGAATTCATATATGCCAACAACAGTCAAAGTGAGAACCAAATCAAAGACTCAATTCCCTTCAAAATAGTAACAAAGAAAATAAAGTGCCTAGGAATATATTTAACTAAGGAGGTAAAAGACCTCAACAGGGAGAACTATGAAACACTGAAGAAAGAAATAGCAGAGGATGTAAACAGGTGGAAGACAATACCATGCTCATGGGTTGGTATATTCAACATTGTTAAAATGTCTATACTACCCAAAGTAATCTACAGAGTCAATGCAATCCCTATTAAAATACCATCATTATTTTTCACAGATACAGAAAAAATAATTTTACACTTAGTATGGAACCAGAGAAGACCCATATAGCAAAAGCAATCCTAGGCAATAAAAAGAAAATGGGAGGTATTAATTTACCAGACTTCAAACTATACTACAAGGCTATAGTAATTAAAACAGCTTGTGATTGGCACAAGAACAGGGACATTGACCAGTGGAACAGAACAGAGAACCTAGATATAAAACCATCCTCATATAGCCAACTAATCGTTGACAAAGCAGACAAAAACATACACTGGGGAAAAGAATCCTTATTCAATAAATGGTGCTGGGAAAACTGGATAGCCACATGTAGAAGACTAAAACAGGGCCCACACCTTTCATCTCTCACAAAAATCAACTCGCGCTGGGTAACAGACTTGAACCTTAGATGTGAAACTCTCAGAATTCTAGAGGAAAACATTGGAAATACTCTTCTAGACATTGGCCTAGGCAAAGAATTTATGAAGAAGACCCCAAAGGCAATCACAGCATCACCAAAAATAAATAAATGGGACCAAGTGCCCATCAATACATGAGTGGATTAATAAATGATGTTAATATGCATCCATCGGAAGTACTATTCAGGTATAAGAAACAATGGTGATATAGCACCTCTTGTATTTTCCTGGATAGAGCTGGAACCCATTCTATTAAGTGAAGTATCCCAAGAATGGAAAAATAAGCACCACATGTACTTAACAGCAAATTGGTATTAACTGATCAACACCAAAGTGGACATACAGGAATAACATCTATCGGGTATCAGGCAGATGGGGGGGAGGCGATGGGTATACACATACATAATGAGTGCAATGTGCATCAACTGGGGGATGGACACACTTGAAGCTCTGACTCGATAGGGGAGGGGATCTGGGCAATATACATAACCTTAGCATTTGTACCCCCATAATATGCTGAAAAAATAAACAAACAAACAAACAAATAAATAAATAAATAAATAAAAGACTAAAAAAGAGAGAGTGAGAGAGAGGGAGAGAGAGAGAGAGAGAGTCCATGCATGTGGATAGGAAGATTCAGTATTATTAAGGTATTAGTTCTTTCCAAATTGATCTATAATTATAATTCATTCTCCATCAAAATTCCAGAAAATTATTTTGTGTTTATCGACAAACTGGTTTCTAAAGTATGTATGGAATGGAAAAAGATCCAGAATAGCAAACACAATACTGAAACAAATAACAAAGTTGGAAGATTAGCACTATCCAATTTCCAGGCTTATAAAACTTTAGTATTCTTTCCACTGTTTCTTCCCTGGCCTTCCTCATGTGTATATAGATGTTGGTCAGCGCTCATCTGAAGACTTAGGGGGAGCTTTCACACATCTCCAGAACTCTTTTTCTCCTCTCTCCAGCTCTGTGCTTTACCTTACACTGATCTGCAGTCTCTGGCTGTGTTAGCCTTTCCACATTCCCAGCTCCATCTAATCAACTCCGTTCCTGCACTAAGGCCTTGTAAATTTCTCAAAGCATTGATCTGAAGCAATCATAGGGCATGTGTCATTTGTTTCCCATCACTCAAAGATCACTGTCCTTTGTTGTCTGATGTGCAATTCTGTTAAAACTATTATTTTATGTATTTTATCTGTTTTCCTTAGTTTCCAGTGTGAGGACTAATCAGGTCTCTGTTATGTTATTTTAGCTAGAAGTGGAATTCACTAGGATAATTTGGAGAGAAAAAGAAGGCAATATTGATATTCTACTACAATATAGTATATTATGTTTACCCTTCCCAGGAGCCAAGTGAACAGGGGTTTTAAAAGGAGAGAGTGGGCAATATGGTTGAATATCTCCATTGGTCTTGGCAAGTAGTGGGGAGTTGGTGACCAGAGAGACCTGATAAATGGAATGGTGGAACTAGAAACTAGACTATAGTGAATTCATGATTAAATGGGAGTCAAGAAGTAGAAAAAGCAAGTAAAAATGATATTCTTAAAAAGTTGAGTTGAGCAGTGATGAAAAGATACCAGATGGCATTTATAAGAAAACACAGAATCAGAGAAAGTTATTTTTGTTGACAATCCAAATCTCTATTGATGTAAAAAACAGAGAAAATTAAGATTGAATATGGATAGAGCACAGGTTAACAAAATGGCCCACAAAGTGGCCACCATATTTTATAGATAAAGTTTTACTGGAACACAGCCAATCCTATTCATTTACATTACTGTCTATGGCTGCTTCTGTTCTATAACTACACAGTTGAAGGATTGTGACAGAGACCATATGGTCCAAAACCTGAAAATATATACTATCTAACTTACAGAAAAAAAATTTGCCAATCTGGAAAATAAAGATTCAACATGCAGTTAAAGTGTGCAATATATTTCTAGTCATCAAAAGCTCTAAATTCATCAGCAATCATTTTAATACATTATACTAAGACAGATAAAACACTGATAATTTTAATGGAAATAAAAATGATAGTCTTAAATTTTTCATTTTGGATAAAGAAGGATTAAAAGTAACTTCTCAAAATAAAATTAGGTTTGTTCTTTCTTAATCTTACATTAAAAAGTTAACATTGCCCACAAGAGTTTGGAAGTTTTTTTAATGTTGCAATAAAATTAATTTAAAATTATTTTCCAATTAGTAACTTATCCATGGACATTATATTACATATGTTATAGAATTTTAATAAAGAAGGATAACGGGTCTATATTGTTTGATTTTGATTTTCAAATATATAATATTTTATATTCAAGAATATCCATTCAATAAGCATTGTGTGACTCAGTCTTTAATCATTTTTAAACTTTTTCTAGGCAAAGAAGTCAAGCCTAAACCTCCACGTATGTTATCTGCATGCCAAATAAATAAATAAATAACATATACACGAATACATAAATAAATAAAATGCATGCTTTTACTCATCCTCTGATTCTATGTTGAATATTTTGCTTAAAATCAAAGGCTTATCTATTTTTTGTAGAGAATGTGCCTATTCTCTTAAGTGTGTTTCTGAGGAGATGCTATGCTGAAACTTTTCTTCATTCTTTACTAGTCGGAGTTCAAACCAACACCTTTTCTTACCTTGTCATTAAAGATATTAGCTTACATTTCCATTTTTTCTCAAAATAATTCTTATTATGATTGATAGTGAGGGACCTTTACTTCTCTGTTTGTATTTGCCACAATCATAAGAAAAAAAGTTAATATGACAGATTAGAAAGCAATGAATAATATATAAAAGAAATATGCAGGAATATAAGAAATAAATATCTTTCTGTAATCAATTTTACTAATGTTCACCTCTTATTTTCAGAGCTGCAAGTAAAAAAAGAAGAGAAGCCAAGTATGTATATTTTAAGTATAGATTCATACATGAAGTTCATATTTATAATAAATAGCACAATATCTCTTTGCAAAATCATGTCCTACTGTAAATATTATATCAAATTTTATCCTTGGCCAATTTTAAAAAGATAAAACAAACAAAATATATATTTATCTATGCTACCTGTTCTTAAAAAAACTGTATTTACGTAGGTAAACTCTTTGAGCATTGTATGAGCATTGTATGACTCAGTCTTTAATCATTTTTAAACTTTTTCTAGGCAAAGAAGTCAAGCCTAAATCTCCACGTGTTATCTGCATGTCAAATAAATAAATAAATATTAATATATACATGAATACATAAATAAATAAAATGCATGCTTTTACTCATCCTCTGATTCCATGTTGAATATTTTGCTTAAAATCAAAAGCTTACCTATTTTTTTGTAGAGAATGTGCCTATTGTCTTAAGTGTGTTTCTGAGGATAATGTATATGGTTCAAAAGAAGTCATTGACTAATTGAATTGACTACTACTATTGTAGAACACAGACATTCTATCAGAAAAACACCTGCTCACACCCATGCCTTTTGGGAGCCTCCTGGGTCAGATATACATTTACGAAGGCTGAACAGTAGGTGGCAGAAATTTTTTCAACAGAACACACAGCAATCTGATTCTGAAAACAGTTAAATTTTTGGTTAATATTTCCTAATTCTATTAGTATTGCAGGGCTGCTCTAATAAAATACCACAAATAGGATAGCTTAGAACAATAGAATTTGTTCTTTCACATTTCTGGAAACTAGAAGTCCAAAATCCAGGTGTCAATAGGGCCATGTTTCCTTTGAAACCTTGCAATTTTTGGCTTTGGGTGTTTTCTGGCAATCCTTGATGTTCCTTGACTTGTAGATGCCTCACTTCATGCTCTGCCTCCTTCATCACGTGGTCATCTTCTCATTTTGTGACTCTATCTCTGTATCTGTTCCCTTCCTCTCATAAACATAACAGTCATATTGGATTAGAGATCCACCCTACTCCCCTGTGACTACATCTTCACTAATTACATCTACAATGATCCTATTTCCAAATAAGATCACAGTCTGAGGTACTGGAGATTAAGACTTAAGTATATCTTTTGGGGAGACACAATTCAATCCCTAACAGTCCATCCTCTGGCCTCCCCAGAATTCATGTCCTTCTTATGTGTGAAATATATTCACCCCATCCCAACATCTCTGAAAGACTTAACCCTTCTAACATCAACTCTAAATCCAAAATTTCATCTAAATATCCGCTGAAAGTCCAAAATCTCATTAATTATCTAAAGCAGTTATGTATAAAAACTGGAGTTTGAGTCTTCCTCCAACAAAATTCTTCAGCTGTGAACCTGTGAAGCTATAAAACAAATTATCTGCTTCCAAAATAAAATTATGGGACAGGCATAGATAGACGTTACCATTCCAAAAGGCAGAAATTTGAAGGAAAAAAAGAGGTCATAGGACCCAAGCAAATTGAAAACGTAGCAAACTTAAAGGCCCGAGAATATCCTTTCTGGCTAAATGCTTTGTTCTCTGAGCCTGGTAGGACAGTGATTCTGCCCTCTTAGCTCACTGGGCTGACAGCCCTGCCCCTTCTGCTGAAAGAGATCCCATAAGTCCAGGTCTTTGAATCCATGGCTCTGCTCTTAGAGTCATCATCCATTCATTTCATCATGTCTCTGGTCCCTTTTTGTCAAGTCTGTTTATGCTTGTATAAAGCTCTCAAAGACCTGACCAATCTCTCACTTAATTCATGGATACCAAAACCACTAGATAAAAGAGTCCACCATAGATCTTTCCTGTATTACCACACCTGTATTTCTGTCTTCTACTGAGATGCTTGATGAACTCATGAGGCATACGCCTAATCTCTTTCGTGAAAGCTTGTCCAGCCACACCTTGGCTCTGTCTCCAGGGCACACTGTTTAAGTAGGCTGAGAATTTTTCAGATCATGAAGTGCCAGTTCCCATTTTCTTAACAGTTTTTTCCCTTAATTTATCTTTCTTTTCACAATTCTATTTTAAGCAACAAGGAGAAATGAGTCTGCACCTTCCATACTTTGCTCGGAAATCTCGTTAGCTAAATATCCAAGTTATTCACTTACAAATTCTATTTCCCACCCAACAGAAAAAGACAATTCAGCCACATTCTTTGCCATGTTATAACAAATATCTCCTTTCTTTCAGGGTCCAATAACATGTTCCTCATTTCCTTCTGAAACCTCACCAGAAGCACCTTTAACATTCCTATTCCTAGCAACACTGTGTTCATATTTAGAGTAATATGTATATTGCTATGGTTTGCATGCATGTCCTCAAAATTTACATGTTGCCAATTTAAAAATAGTAAGAGAGGAGCTTTAAGTGGTGATTAGGCATGAGGGCCTCCCATGCGAATGGAAATACATTTTTCATCAAAGAGGCTTTATGCAGCATTCATGCTTTCTTCCCCTTTTGCCCTCTCCCATGTAAGGACACAGCATTTCTCCTCTTTGGAGGACACAGAGCAAGGCACCATCTTAGAACCAGAGACTGAGCCTGCTGTTACCTTGATCTTGGATTTCCCGGTCTTCATAGCTGTAAGAAATAAATTTCTGTTTTGTATAAATTACCCAGTCTGTGATATTCTGTTGTAGTGCACAAAATGGACTAAAACAGAAATACATAGTCTAAGATGACAGAAGCTTTCTCTATAGCTTTCCTGATTTCTTTCTGAGCCCTCAGCAAATAGCATTTAATGTTAGTATTTCTGCTTATCATCTCTTCAAGGCAATCTAGATAAATCAAGTGCCCCAAACTCATCCAGCTTCTATCCATTACCCAATTCCCAAACCACTTTTACACTTATAGGTTTTTTGTTTGTTTGTTTGTTTTACAGCAGGACCCACTTCCTTATACCAAAATCTCTTAGTTTCCGTGGATGGTGCAATAGAGTACTACAGTTTCTGTTGCTTAAAACAACAGACATTTATTCTCTCACAGTTCTGGAGGCTAGGAGTCCAAAATCAAGATGCTGGGAAAGCAATAGTCCCTATCGAACCCATAGACATGAATCTGTCTTTGCCTCTTCTAGTGTCTAGTGTTTGCTAGCAATTCTTGGTGTTCCTTGATGTGAAAATATATCACTTAAATCTCTCCTTCATCATTAAATGGCCAAGTTCTCCTTTGTGTCTGTGTCTTTATGTCTCTTCATTTCTTTTTATAAGGATACCAGTCATATTGGATTAAGGACCCACCCTACTCCAACATGACCTCATCTTACCTAATTACACCTATACAACCTTATGTCTAAATAAGGCCATATTTTGGAGTACTGTGGGTAAGGACTCAACATATCTTTTGGGAGGAGACACACTGAAGACATAACACTGTCTGAATTGCCAAATAATATACATACCCAATTAGTTCTGTTTCAAAGAGTGTCTTTTTTTCAAATTTTGGTGTTCAAAACATTTATCTTATGTTGACATTGGAACTATTTCCTGCAACAATCATCTTGAGAAAAAGTAGACAATTTAGGCTTAAATTAATTAGCAGTAACAACAATGTAATAACGGACAAATGTATAACATGTTTCTAACTGCTGTGTGTTTAATAGCCCAGCATTGACAAACCAGCATAAAACTGGAATAAATTTTAGTAAAATTCTTTTTAAATTATAGTAAACAAATAAAATTATTTCTAAAAATGAATTTGTACTCTAATTTTATGTTCAGATTTTTAATTTTCTTTCTTTCCCTCCCTCAGAGCCACAAATTAAAAAGGAAGCAAAACCAGGTAATAATATTTTTATTTCATATAGATTCAGAGCTGACATTACCTTCATTTCAGAATGAAAAGAGCCTTATCTCCACCAAGGGGGATGCATACAGAGCCTCCCAGTTCTATTCTGTTGTTTGGTGTGGTTTAACAGTACGGGGTTAGGTGAGAATGGGGATGTTTTAGAGACAAAAACATCTAGATTATGGGCTTAAAATAAACCTAACGGAGATTTCAGGTTTCGGGAGACATTTCTTGGGGTTTTTCAAAATCAATAAGGATTATATTTAATTTGTGGCTTCATTTCCACTAATACACTAGAATTATAAAAATCACAAAATCATAGACTATTGGGGTTTAAAGGGAAATAGGATAAGAATTTATTAAGCATCTACTGTGAACATTTTTATTTTCATGTCATTATGAGAAATATGCAGCATGGCAACTATTATCTACATTCAACATCTATGGAAACAATTAAATAGACCAAGTTCAGAAAATAACTTCTTTTTACAAGATTTTCAAGTTGATATATGTTGGAGCTAGGATTATTTGCCTCCAAACCCTGAGTGCTCCCATGAAGAGACTGTTACAGACTAACTCTATCATTTTATTAAGAGTTATCATTGACCTAAAAACAGAGTCATTGCTATTGAGTGCTTTAGTCCTTGCTCCGGTACCAACTAGCTATGGACCTGAGGCAAGTAAAAAGGAACCCTCAGGCTTGATGGAAGCTATTTCTTCATTATGAAAAACTTGTTTAGCAAGAGTTACCAATACCAACAAATTTAAGAATACAAATCTACATGTATATGCAACACTATCTCACCCTTTAATTCTCACCAGAGCTTACCTGGCAATTGATCATAAGTTTGAGTCTAGTTGTTCTTATAAGTAATATATTTGTATTGTAGTAAGGCACATGAATGCCTATCTATTGTTTTATGATTTATTTTCCTGATTATATTTATTTGTTGCAGGTGAATATATTTTATCAGATATAAGCATTTTGCCTCTTTCCCCTTTTATTTTTTTAACCAGAAGACCAATACCATTTAAAGCTAGTTAGATGTAGTGCCATTTAAGACTTATATTTGTTATTATTAAATACTACATTTTGCAGCTAATTTAATTTAATATGTTATTTATTTATACTGTTATAGCTTTATCTGAAAAAGCACAAATACACTATATATATAAAATTCATCTATAATGCTTATATAGAATTTTTATGAGAAATATTTGAAATGTTTTTAAAATTATATATGCTCAATCTATGTGTTTATATTTATGCTTCATTATAGCCTATGCGTTGGAAATTACATCTGCTTGAATGTAAATAAGAGTTCTAGGTCTATTGTTTTCATGAACTAAAACTTTTAACTTTTACATATAAACTAGGATGACATGAAGATTTAGTAATATTTTTTCTCCATGATTATTACTTTTGCTAAATCTGTTAGTTATTTTCCATTTGACAAATCACTAGCCTAACTCAGTGTACTCACAGAGCACATCTATTATATGTTAATTTATAAAACTTCTAAATACCTGAAAAAATTTTCTTTTTATTATTTCCAGAACAAGGCATAGTGAAACCAGAAAAGACTGTTTCTCATGGTAAACCAGGTATTTTGCAGGTGGTATTTGTAGTATCATAGTGTCTTTCAATGTTCTAATTTTAGCAGAAGGAAGAGTTTAAAGTCAAGTCTAAAGTTACTTGGGACAATTCATGCCTTAAGTCATCAGCTCCTAGAACACTTCCAATTTTAGTCATCTTCGCAATATTTTTTGCACTGAGAATTTAACCAGTCAGCTGTAACTAGACAGCTAGTCATCCCTTCTCATCAGAGGGTGAGCTCAGAACAAAGACCGTCAAAACTAGCACTCAAGTGAACAGGCTCTACATTTTTTGTTTTATTCTGCTTGGGGTAAGACATTCTTAGAAAACTTGAAATTCCTATTGGCTCATTTCAAACATGATCATCTTAGAGTCCCTAGATCCCAGGAATGCCTTCCTTCATTCCTTCCTTCATTTCTTTACATTTGCCTCCCTTCCTTCTCTTTCTCGTTTTTTTTTAAATTTTTATTCCTGGTCTTGCATTCCTGGTCTTGCATTTTGGAGAAAGTACAAGTGAGCCAATGTATTCTGCTTGTAAAGAAAAATGCAAAATTTACCAAAATGAGGTTATAAATTATGTTTTATATAAAACCAGAACTTTATTTAAATTTAGGCTAGTTTAATATGAATTTAATTTTGAGGTTACTCAAGCCTCATTATTCCATGGAATATTATCTTTCATTCCAGGCTGAACAGTGTACCCAATGTTGTAAATATGGTTAGGCCAGAATCTTTGAAAAGCTAAAAACATACTTTCTCCAAAGAAATCTTAGAGTATCTTTTGCTTAGGTTTTTAAAATTGTACTTTAGAAAATCTGTATATAATGGGTTTGAGTCAGTTTGATTTGATTTGCTTATGCTTTAAAAAATATGACATTCACTGACAACAGGAATAAAGAAGGCAGGGCTGGAGTGTGGAGAGGTGAGAACCGTCTGTATTGACGTAGCAAAACTTTAGAAACAACTTCTTGGATTTCCCAATTTAAACTAATAATAAAACCCTGTTATTTTCTTGTGTTATAAATGTTAGCCATTTTGAGGTGAAATACCAAGAGAGTGAGTTTAGTCTCTATGTATTAAATATGTTGACTTCCAGCCACAACTCTCTTACTTCAGTTACACCCTCATGCTCTTTAAATTCTCTGTTATCCAGTGTAAATTTGTAATTAGGATATTTGATCATCTGATTAATACCCACTGCCGAATACTTAAAAAGTTTAATTTTACATAGGGTCATTGTAACAATCTCTTTACTTTGACTCCAATATCTTTGTAAAATCATAGTGGCCACAAATGTACCATGACTGCTCTTCCTCAGCTTCACAATACAGGAAATTTGGGTTCTACAGCTATTCCAGACAAGTATCTGCACAAGATCAAAATTGCTATTTCATTTTTTTATTATTATTACAGCATATTACAGGGGTACAAATGTTTAGGTTACACATATTGCCTTTGCCCCACCCAAGTCAGAGCGTCAAACGTGTCCATCCTCCAGACAGTGCACCCTGCACCCATTAGGTGTGAATATACCCATCCCCTCCACCTTCCTCCCGCCTGTCCGACACCCAATGAATGTTACTTCAATATGTGCACCTAAGTGTTGATCAGTTAATACCAGTTTGATGGTGAGTACATGTGGTGCTTGTTTTTCCATTCTTGGGATACTTCACTTAGTAGTCCCAGCTCTAGCTCTATCCAGGATACTACAAGAGGTGCTAGATCACCATTGTTTCTTATACCTGAATAGTACTCCATGCTATACATATACCACATTTTATTAATCCACTCATGTATTGATGGGCACTTAAGTTGTTTCCACATCTTTGCAATTGTGAATTGTGTTCCTATAAACATTCTAGTGCAGATGTCTTTTTTTCCTTTCATAGATGTTCCTATTCTCATTTAATGAGGGGCTATATATTTCATAAAGCAGTACCTCTGTGTAGATAAATACAGTGAAGGCAAGGAAGGCAAGGAAGGCAAGGAATAGGGTTTATATTGGCAGGAATTGGCAAGAGAGGAAACAATTTAAACTAGGAAACTTCTATGGCAAGATAGCTACAAAGGATGTATTAGCTGGATACATTTTCTTTGTGTTCCCATTCAATCTGAAGAGAAGATATTACTTGCCATTTTATTGAGGAAACAGATAAGTTTTTTTTTTTTGGCATTGATGCTATTTCAAAAAGAATACAAAATATCAATCCTGAAATATGTCACTGTTTTGTACAGATGTATTCAAAATTTGTACACATGTTAACATTTTTTCTTATCACAGAAGAAAAAGTTCTCAAGCAGGTAAAAGCTGTCACAACGGAAAAAATGGGTAAATAACATATGTTATATTTTTCTTCTGTCTATTAGTTTTATATCATGTGACTATACTCACACATATCTTCACTGAAGTGTGTAGACTTTCAGTGCCATAAACTCTAAGATTCTGAATTCTTGTAAGTAACTAAAGATACACTTAATAAAAATTTTTATTAAAAATAACAAAAACCAGAATGGCATAACTGTATTTTCTAAAGTGTGATTGATCTGAGCTGATATGTAATTCATGAGGAAATCTATGCAATGCATTGATTCTCCTGTTTATGTAGGTGTTTAATCTTATTTTCAAACCGCATTTCCTCAAATCTCAAAATCACAGAAATCTAAAACCTTCTGCTATTTATAAATTAGTTGGAATAATTTCCTTTCATGATAACTCCATAAAGAGTTACCTGGTTATATAACTTTTAAAATGTACCTTAAAGAATGATCAATATTAAAGTAAAAACAGTCCATTCCTTACTCTTTGAGTACTAGAGTCTTTCCTACAAGGAGAAAGAAAACCTCTGAGGCTTTGACTCAGCTGACATTTTGAACTACTAAATCTCCTCTATTCGATTCCACAATAGAAATCCTACCCACCTTGGCCATTAAGACAGTCCTATTTCTTATTAATACTAATAATCATTCGTAAGGAAAAAGTCTGTGAAGTATTATTTTCTCCTAACTGAGATAATCAGGATTTAAATACAGTGTTTTTTAGAGGAAAATATAATAAAATTCAGAAGAGAACTAATTATTTACAGAAATTATAAAATAGTATTTCATAAGAGGAAAAATAACCTCATAAGGCCATTTTTACATTATTTCATCTGACCATTGCATTTTATTTATTTATTTATTTCAAGGAAATATGAGAGTGCAAACATTTTGGTTGATGACCATTGTATTTTATTTCAACCATTGCCTAGGTTTATAATTTCAGTACATGTTTCTCTAATTTGCACTCTTAGGTATTAATATGCTCCCTGAGTATTTCATTCAGTTATATGGATGTTTGGAGATTATGAAGAAACTAGATCAATGTATTTGTGTCCCAAATATATAAATCATTTTAAATTTTATGTGCATTTCATATGTCCTATTAGTTTTTCACTAAGCAATATGATTAATGTGTTTTCTGACAGTAACATAATAGTACTTGGAGAAAATAGGTTAAACCTAACATAAGGAGAGAAAGTAAAGCTAAAAAAGAATAAATACAAATGCTAAAGAGTTATTTTTTTTATAGTCTCCATCTACTAACGAATATACCATCTGCTTTCCTCTATTTCCACAGTCAAGCCCAAACCAGCAAGTAAGAGATGAAAACAATAAAACCTGAGAATATCGCTTGGCCATTTCATCTTTAACAATTTGCTTGGATTTTTAAAATTGTCATTTTCAATGGTGCCTATGGCTATATCACCTATATAAGTGACAAATTAATGTTATTGCTATGGCTTTGAGCTCCTTTTCTTTCACTACTAATTAGTGATACATTATAATTATTAAAAAGAGATATCTGGAAGGTATATCACTATTAATATTAAACTAGTGAATCCATACAGCTATAAAATACCACTAATAAGAAAGTGGGTAGGTGGAAAATCTTTTAAACATGCCTAATGAACAACAAAGGAAAATGCAATGATATACAATTGTCAGCATTGTAAACCATATAATGTCTTTGATTTATTTGCTTTAAGCTATGTTAATTACACTGTAAGTGGACTTTGACACTTAGAAATTCATAAAATTAAAAACATTTTGGTATTTGTCTATGAAAATCATGTAATTTCTTCATGAGTGTGAACTTTAAAGATCACTGATTTCAGTGTACATGTGTGATACAAAGATTACAGTGATAGAGTTTAAAGGTGACTATCGTGCTTAGGAAGGCTTGAACATTTGCCCATCGTCACATGGGTGGTAAATGTGCCCAATATTGTTCAAAACTGTGACATTTGTCCTCGAATGATATACATTTGTGAAACACAACCATAGATGAAGACATGAGTGGCTGTTGGGCAAGTATTTTCTGGCTCCTATATGAAAAATGTATCAAAAAGTTTCAAAGATGAACTTGGGAGACCAGTCAAAAGGACATATAAGTGGTGCTGGCAAATATATGGAGCCTAATTAGAGCATATTCACATCCTAGAAACTGTGACATGTATTTTTAATATATATTTTGTATTATTATTATTACTTTGATTAATTATGCTTTTGTAATGCTATTATAACAGTTTAGTAGCTTGAATATTGGCTTCTTAATTTTCTTTTATTTTGCATGCTTGTTTAATACATTTATGCACATTCAGTTCATGGAAATTCATTTTTGAATGCTGTCAATTTCTAACTTACAAATATGCATTTAATCTAGCAACACCTAGAGTACCACATCTTCCCACCTACTTCATTGCATTGGTGCATGATGTTGGGGAAAAATAGTAGTTATTTTAGAGAAACTCCAAATCTAGATGTGAGGGCGAGAAAGGACAGATCAGGAAGATTAACTCTGGAGGTCATTAGAAAGAGCTAACACTGGGTTTGTTCCAGTGCTCTGCTAAATGTACTAATATTCTCAGTCCCATTCAAGATACCCCACCCTACGAGGCTTCATTTGAAGTTCCACTTTTGATGAAAGAGAGAGATCTCTTAAATGTTTTTAACTCAGATATTTTTCAGATGGCTACAAGGGATGTATATTATTCACAAATTTTTATTCCATTTATTATGTCCTAGAATAGTTGAGATTAAACTATGAGAGTTGTAACTAGATCTGGAAGGGCAGGGTGGTACAGAAGAATAAAAATACATAATGTGGTACCCTCTGGAATAGAGCCGATCTAGATTAAATTTTCCATAAGAAACTAATGTTCAGCACTAAATTTCTTCTGACCTGGCAAGAAGGGAACTAGGAGTCAGAGAGCTAAAAGGAGGAGTTGGTAAAATGCCAAAGACAAGTGTCATCTACGTTGAAATGTCCCCAAGGAATAACTTAACCTTCGGCAAGGAAAGAGAAAACAATCCTCTTCTTATTCTCCTCTTTGACATATTCTATCCTCTTCTTATATAACATGACCCCAAAAGGTCTGGAACCCTAGTATTGTCTTTCAGTTACATAAAAGAGAAAGTCCTTCACTAGGTGTCCTGAGAATGAATATAACCTTGCTTATAATGTGGTTTTATGGCACTATGCTTTCTGTATTCCAAGCTGTATAAAAATGGCTTCAAAGGCATGTCTCCCAGGTAAACTGAGGATCACCTGCAAACATATAAATAAATGCTTGCTGCATAAAGGATCCACAGATTGACAGGGAATTTTGATTTCTCTCCCTAGAAAAAGCAGAACATCAAGAAAAAGAAGCTCCATCTCTAAAAATAGGTATGTTTTTTGTCATTTTTGGTTTATATTCTATCTTTCACTATTTTTATTAAATTTGAAAATTAAAGCAATGCATACAGATGATTTTCATTTTGTTTCCTGGTAATGTTTAGTCTTGTGGTTTTGTAATGTAGTTTATAGTTTAAACTACATATGATATAGTTTATCTGACCTAAGGACTGTGATATTGTTCTCAATCAAACATGGATTGCCAAACATGCTACCATAATATAGGAAAATTAACAAATAATAATCACTTTTATGATTCACACGCCCCTTCTAGAATTTTCAGTATTTCACTGTTGTCAATATTGATACTATTTATCATACTAATGAAGTTGACTCACTGTCGGTAGTTTTAAAATATTGTGTTAAACTACACATGTTAAATTTCAGTAATTGCGAATTTCGGTCTGATATATTTTCTTAAAGTAGAACGTATATCATTGTATCATAGTTACCATCATTTTTAAAAATGTTATTCAAATATTAAGGCATATAGGATGCTAAGTACAAAATTACCTCCCCTTTTCCTTTTCCTTATTCTATCAGTTCCCCCTTCAAAAATATCAGATAATATCCAATAGGTAATCACTGTTATTTCTTAAAATATCTTTCTAGCATTATCTATCTGTACTAATAAATATATATCCCCCCTTTTCATTTTCTTACAAAATCATGACATGCCATAAATTATTCTGTATCTATATTTTTCTATGTAAGAATGTATCTTGAAGCTTTTTTCATATCAGTACATAGGATTTTTCTCATTAATAATATTTTATTGTACAGTTGTATTCAGTTACTTAATTAGACTCTGACTGGCATACACTAAAGTTTTAAAAAAGCCTCCTTTAAAGATACATGAAAGATATGTCTAGTTTTGTTAATTTAACAAATTAGTTAACATATATGTCTAGTTTTGTTAATTTTAAGAGTAAAATTAAATAAAGTAGAATTTTTAATGAAAAAATATATTTAATGTATTGGAATTTGTATAGATATACTTAATTGTTCTCTATAAAAGTTGTATCAATTAATATTTCCACCATTAAGAGTTAGAGTTAGTTCACCTAAATTTGGATAATTTAAATCTTCCACAGTCATAGTCCAGTATTATCTACTTTTTAAATGTGTATAAGTAGAACTTTAGATATAAAACTATGATACAAAATTAATGTTTTTAGTTAAAAATTTCAGAAGACAAGGTATATTGGAGACAGGATGTTTTTATATGGTATAGTTTTTTTTATCTATCACCCATTTATTCTTCCTGAGATTTTATAAATTCAACTTTGTCATTCCAAATACTGGATCAGAAGAGTTTAAATTGTTAATATTAATTAATATTAATATGTATTCTGAAAGCTGGCAGAATATTCTTTTTATGTCATTTGGAAAGAGTAAGAAGTTCAGATTATTGTGAGCATTCATTCATCCAGCATCAAATTAAAGATGAGGTAAAACAGCAATAAAGAAGAGACTGAGAACTTGCCATACTTTTTGACTTTACAACTGTTCCATGAGAAACTCATTAGGAATATGTCTTAAAAATTACTGCACCTTTATACCCTATTGGTAATTTTAATAAATGTTTAGGCTTTTTCTTATTTTAACTATGAAAATCAGAAATAGGAAATATAAAGAGCTGACATTATCACTTATTTTTTCTCTTCTTTTTTTTTTTTTTACTTTTTAGATAAACCAAAACCAACTTCAAGTAAGTGTATGATTTTACAATTTTAGAAATAAGCCATTTCATTGTTTTGATTTAGTAATTTTCTTTGTATTGTAAATAAAGTAAAAAATATGGTATGTTAGTTAATATAGTAGCCATTACACTATTATCTATTATATAAGTGATTCTGGTTGATAAAGAATATTGTGCATACAGGCATAATAGGGAGATAAAAAACACTCAACGTAGAAGAAAATGGGCAGATGAAAGGGCCTTTCTCAGAGGAAGAAACTATACATCAATAAACACATGAAGAGATGTTCATCTCATTAGAGATTTAGAAAATACAAATCAAGAAAAATTTCAATGCCATTGTACGGGCACATGTCAGAGAAATTGCAGGTTTGTTTCCAGATATCACAATAAAGCAAATATTACAATAAAGCAGATCACACAAATTTTTGGTTTCCAAATGCATATAAAAGTTATGTTTATGCTCTATTATAGTCTACTAAACGTGCAAAAGCATTATGTCTAAAAATGTACATGTGTTAATTAAAAAATTTTTATTGCTAAAAAATGCAAACAATCATTAAAACCTTTAGTGAGTTGTAATCCTTTTGCCGGTGGAGGGTCTTGCCTCAATGTTGAGGGCTGCTGACTGATCAAGGTGGTAGTTGCTACAAGTTGCGGTGGCTGTGGCAATTTTTGAAAATAAGACAATTATGAACTTTACTGCATCAATGGACTCTTTCTTTCATGAAAGATTTCTTGGTAGAATGCGATGTTATTTGATAACATTTTATCCACAGTAGAACTTCTTTTAAAACTGGAGTCAATACCCTCAAACACTGCTGCTTTTATCAACTAAGCTTTTGAAATATTCTAAATATTTTGTTGTCATTTCAACAATGTTCTCAGCATCTTTACCAGGAATAGATTCCATCTCAACTAACTCTCTTTGCTTATCCATAAGAAGCAACTCCTCCTCACCTGTTCAAGTTTTAACATGAGATTGCAGCAATTCAGTCACCTCTACAGGCTCCTATTATAATTATAGATCTCTTGCTATTTTCAACATATCTACATTTACCTTCTTCACTGAAGTTTTGAACTCCTCAAGTCATCCATGAAGATTGGAATCAACTTCTTCCAAACCCCTGTTAATATTAATATTTGACCTCCTCACATGAATCATAAATGTTCATAATGGCAGCTAGAATGATGAATCCTTTCCAGGAGATTTTCAAATTACTTTCCACAGATCCATCAGAGGAATCACTATCTATGGCAGCTATAGCCTTATGAAATGTATTTCTTAAATAATAAGCCTTGAAAGTTAAAATTACTCCTTGATCCTATGGGCTTCAGAATGGATATTATGTTAGCAAGCATGAAAACATTAATCTTCTTGTACATCTATCTCAGAGCTTTGGGTAACCAGATGCATTGTCAATGACCAGAATATTTTGAAAATAATCTTTTATTCCTGAGCAGTAGATCTCAACAATGTACTTAAAAAATTCACCAAATCATATTGTCAACAGATGTGCTGCCAGCAGGCTTTGTTGTTCTATTGATACAGTGCAGGTAGAGTAGATTTAACATCATATGTAAGGACCCTGGGATTTTTGGAACCCACTAAGTGAGCATTGGCTTCAACTTAAAGTCACCAGCTGTATTATCCCCTAACAAAAGAGTCATCCTATCATTTGAAGCCTTAAAGCCAGGCATTGACTTCTCCCTTTAAGATATGAAAGTTCTAGATAGCATCTTGTTCCCATAGAAAGCTCTCTTGTTTACATTTAAAATCTGTTATATAGTGTAGCCATCATCATCGATGATCTTAGCTAGATCTTCTGGACAACTTGCTGTAGCCTCTACATCATCACTAGCTACTTCACCTTGCACTTTTATATTATGGAGACAGCCTCTTTCCTTAAACTTCAGGAGCCAACATCTGTTAGCTTCCAACTTTTCTTCTGCAGCTTCCTCCCCTCTCTCAGCCTTTGCAGAATTAAAGAAAGTTAGAGCCTTGCTCAGGATTAGGCTTAGATGTAAGTAACTGTTGGGGTTGGTTTGATTTTTCCATCCAGACCACTTAAACTTTCTCCATGTGAGCAGTAAGACTTTCTTATCATTCTTGGGTTCACTATAATAGCACTCTTAACTTCAAGAATGTTTTGTTTGCATTCACAACTTGGCTTTTTTGGCACAGGTGGCCTAGCTTTTGCCCATCTCAGCTTTCAACATGCCTTCCTCAATAAGCTTAATTATTTCTTTATTATTATTATTATTTCAGTATATTACAAGGGCACAAATGTTTAGGTTACATATATTGCCTTTGCCCCACCCAAGTCAGAACTACAAGTATGTCCATCCCCCAGACAGTGCACATCACACACACTAAGTGAGAATACACCCATCCCCTTCTCCCTCCTCCCACAATGATTTCTAGTTTTTGATTCAAAATGAATGATGTACAACTCTTCCTTTCACTTGAACACTTAGGGGCCATTGTAGGGATGTTAATTGGCCTAATTACAATATTATTGTATCTCAGAGAATAGGGAGACCCAAAGAGGGGAGTGAGGGGGAAGGGGGAGCAAGAGAGAGATTGAAAGAGAGAGAGAGAGAGAGAGAGAGAGAGAGAGAGAGAGAGAGAGAAACAGATACTGGTGAACGGCAGTCAGAATACACATAACATTTATTGATTAAATTCACTATTTTATATGGGCACAGTTCAAGACATTCTAAAATAATTACGTTGGAACATCAGAGATCATAGATCATCATAACAGATATAATAAAATGAAAAATTTGAAATAGTGCAAGAATTACCAAAATGAGACACAGAGACAAGAAGCATGTTCCTTTGGAAAAATGGTGCCAATAGGCTTGCGTGACACAGGGTGGCTACAAACTCTTAATTAGTAAAAAAATGCAATATCTGCAAAGTTCCATAAAGTTAAGGTCAATAAAATGAGTTATGCCTGTATTCCATTCATTAATCCTTGAGCATTAGCACCTATTAGGTATATCACACTATACCTAGATATGTGAGGGACAGCCTAAAATGTTTTCTGTTGTTAAACCTATTTTGTTAATGAATTATGATAATAACAAATTCCTATGTGAAAAAAGTAGTTGAATCTCTCTTTTATCTACTTTCATTTGTTTGTTAGGATTTATTGAGTAAACACAGTATAAAGTTCCCTCTAATTGTCACTGGGTAGATCAAGAAAAATTCAGAGCACATGGGCCTGTCCTCAGTTTATTTATTGTTAACAATATTCTCATTTTAATATTCTCATTTTTTAAAGGGTTGAGGTATGTTGAATTTGGTAATTGAAAATCATTGTTTTATTTAACATTTTAAACAATAATAAAAATACCATAGTAAATGATAAAATTATTTATTTTATATTATTAAAATACCCAGACTTTCCTCTGGGATAAAAATATGTTCATTTCAGTTAAGAGTTATCTAGATGTTGTATTTAAAATTTTTAAATGCCAAGGCCTAACCTGCTTTCTTAACAGTGTTATGACAGATTCCTCAATAATGCAGCTACAGTTTACTTCTGAATAGATTCAATGCCAATTTTAAACATTAAAAATTGCCCTTGGGTGGAGAAACTCTCTAGTATATTTTATTTATAATATAGCTATTAATATGAACAGTATTACTAAAATTAAGGATTAAAAGTCAAAACTAGAATGCTAGAAATATCACCATAAAGTCATTTAAATATACCATTTTGTTTATGAAATATTGTTTATCTTCATTATTATAAAATATATTTTACTCATTTTGTCTTGAATTTTGAATATAGTTTCCAAAGAAGTTATGTAAGACTAATAAAATTGATATCACCTATATATAAAACATTGGTATTTTAAGAGATATACTTCTCATACTTTCAGAGAAGTTTTATTTTCTGGAAATGTCACTTGCATTGATTTGTGAGGTAAAGATTTTTTAAGAACTTACCAGGTTAAATTTGTAAATATTATAAGTCTATGGATTTACTGAAGGAATAAAAAGAAAACTTGAGTCTGCATTATCATAAGCTATAGGCAAATATTTTCTATCTATCTCATTTATTAGACTGTAGTGACCATGAGTTGAGTTGTTTCTGTTTCAACCTTATCCCACAACCCCACTTAATTGAACTTCTGATAGAATCTTATAAATAAAATTGTCTTAATAAATATTCAATGAATGAATGCATGCATGCATCCATGAATTAAATTAAAAATATATGTAACAGAGATTTATAATTTGCAATTTGTAATTAAGAAAACTAGAGGACCTAGAGTTAATTAATTTCACCACATTTAAATAGACAGTTTAGGTTATCTTGTAGAATGTTTCTATTTCCAAAATAGATGTCTAGTTATAATTTTCAGAAATATTAATTATTGGCACATTTCTTTGCCATTTAGAATAGACCTATCATAATTTAATAAGACATAACTAAAGATAAATTTCAATTGTCTGCCACTGAATAAAAACTATTTTCCTTTAATTTTCTTGTTTTTTCTATTACATTCTTTTTTTCCTAAAGAGGTAACATCAGAAGTCACAGACTCAGGTAAATATTTGCTTTCTCAGAGGAAGTAAAGATAGAGTTGTGGTAACAGTATGTATATTCGTGTCCTTATATATCTGTATAATATTTAGAAAAGAAAATCCCTTAATCACTCAAATTCCAGGTTTTCTCATCTATAGAACAGGAATAATGACTTCCCAAAAGGCTTGTTATGAGGATTAAATGATATAATACATGTTGCATTCTCACCACATAGTTGTGACTCAATAAATAATGGTTTCCTTCTCACTCTTGTTTGGAAACATAGTCGAAGAAGATTAACAATCAACAGAGACTGTTTTGAAAACTGTGTCCATGTTTTGAAAACTGTGTCCATGTTTTGCTTGGAAATATTGTGTGACTCTATCATTGCTTTCATTCTTTAATTTATTTATTGAGCATCCATCACACCAGCCAAATCCTTATTTCCTAAATACAACAATTGAAAATGCAGATGTTTTTCCTGTTGTTTCTAATTTGAACTTATTAATAAATGCATGGTTTGTGCTGGCTTCATTTCAAAGCATGTAAGAGAAAGGGAAGATCTAGGCCCGGTGGCATGAACCTGTAATGCCAGCTACTCAAGAGGCTGAGGCTGGAGGATCGCTTGAGCCCAGGAGTTCTAGACCAGCCTGGGCAACATAACAAGAATTTGTTTCAAAAAAAAAAAAAAAGAAAAAAAAAAAGAAAAATAAGAAAAACAGAGGGGCTCTGCCATAAAGGTGACTGCATGTTCACAGAATGATCAACTATAACAACAAATGGAATGATGGAATGGGAAATCCCTGACCCCTGTCTTCTCATGGGGTTAAGACTCATCTCCAGCTACTAACTCCAAGATTAAGTAAGAAAATCATGTTTTTTAAAATGATGATTTATTGTTATTTTTTCCCCCTAGGGAAAAAGAAAACTGAAAAACCTGAAATGGAAAGTAAAGGTAAAGTAGACATTTTAAGACATATACATCAAATCAGTCAAAAAAAATGAAATAAACATACATAATTATACAAACCATATCACTAAAAGCAATTCATGACATGTAGACACTGGTTTTAGGGCACATACGAGAATTGCAGTACTTGCAGTTCATCCATATGAAAGGTGGACGTATTGCATTATTTTTAAATACCTAAGGGAATAGGAATATAGATCTAAAGCAAACTCTACCTGTTTATTCCTAAATTGAAGCCATGGACTTCTTTTCATATGACTCCTAAAAATGTGAACATTGACTACAAAAAATTAATATCAAGCCTTCAGAAGAACTATTAATAAATATGATATATTACTCTGACTTACCATTTCCTCTCTGTAGAAAAAACAGAAGTGAAACATCATAAAGAAGAAAAAGGTAATTTTTTAAAAGAAAAAAAACTATAATGCAAAGCCCTGAAGGCAAAATATTTTGAATCAAAATTTATTTATATCATTTGTAAATGTAATTTTTATTTATATATGTGATGATTGTCAGTCTGATTTGAAGAGGAAATGTGGTAAATAACTGTGGCTGTGTGGTAATGGACAATAGGCCAATCCATGCAAAGAAACATCCATTTGTTGTTCCAGTGACACTTCCTCTTAACATTGGGTTTATTTCTTTAGTAAACTATACAATATATTAATCACTGATTTCAATGTAATTTTCTGGAAAACTGACAAAGGCCTTGATTATCAAAGAAATATTTATTGGATCAAGAGGAAAACATTCTTAGATTTATCAGAATAACTATTAATAACAAAAAAAATGTTTTTGTTTATCCCCAAATTCAATTACTCAGAGTGACCCATTTTCCATAGATTCTAGTTAATGTAATTGCTACATTCATGGTATACCTCTGCTTATGCAAACCAAACAATCTCTACTACTAACATTTACTTTTGTTAGGTATTAGTTTGAATGAAGACACAATTTTTTAAATTCACTCTGAGAAAATATTTACAATGCGTTAATTATTCCCATGTTCTTAAAGCTTAGAGTTGAAGTGAGACACAATCTTTATGAAAATTTACTTTAAAAATTTGCGTTTTAATTTACATTTTTCTTATAAACAGTCTCGACAAGAAAAGAAAGTCCTCAATTACACAATGTGACAAAAGGTAATTTTGAACTACATAAATATTCAAATGTAGCATTAGTATAGAAATGCCTGAATTGTGTTGTTGCTCAATATTAACACTAGATTATTTTAAAGCAATGAAGTCTAGCAGATACATACTTCAGCTAAGAGCAGAGGATTGTTTTACTTGTTTCGCAGTTTTATATATGAGTTATGCTGCTGTAATGTGACTACAAACATAAGTATCCTGACTGAAAATGTTTTTTAAAGAACTTTATATTGGCATCACTTGATTTTTAGAAATTGATAATTCTTAGGTTTATGTTAGAAACTCTAAAAATCTCAAAGTAAACCATATAACACAGATTCCTTAAAAATATATATTTTCTAGCCTAGCCCTTTGAATGAGATTTAGGTTGGTAGAATGGAGATATTGCCAGTCTGGTTCAAGAAGGTAGAATGTCTGGCATAGTATTTGGGACAACTACCTCACCTTATATGTTTTTGTCCTATATACAAATAGTTTAATAATACAGCACATTTCTTTGAAGAATAATAATGTCTTATGGAAACAGATGAATTATTGTGAAAAAGTAAACTGATTTTCATGTTGCTTTTTAAGATTTATTTATTTTATGATCTCATTGGTAAATATCGTTGAAATAAAAATAATTCTCCATGACACATTTTATGAAATTTGGAAATTTTAAAGAAAATATTTAGATTAATTACATAATACAAAGTGATTTTATTCAAATTAGGTATAAGTATAATTGAACAAAAACACATAATTTTAACAAAAATCCTGCTGATTTTAGTAAGAGTATTTAAAAAGCATAAATATGTTGTGACATCTGAAATGATTAACAGCCTTTTTTGATAGCTCACATACTTTCTTACATAAAAGAGATTAATCAAGACATTCAAAGACTCATGTTCACAGACAATAGAGAGTTGTATTTATTCACTAACTCTTAAACAATAAAAGAGAAACTCAAAATATATTAGATACTTTTATAAAGTCCACTGATGTATAATCTACTTCCATATTATATCACTTAAACAAAATTTGTTTTCTTTTCTTAGCTGAAAAACCTGCAAGAGTATCAAGTAAGTGCAATGTGTATTAATGATGAGTTATCTTTGATATATAGTATCAATTTTAAGGTGAACTTCATAAAATATTTCTATTTTTAATGTTCAGAGATTCATTCTAAACTAAACCTACTGACAAGAATTTGTTAGCTTTTATTCTCACTTATGTTGAAACTTTTTAAAAAATCTATATTATTTGAAATTATAATTTCTACCAGAAATACCTTATTATGTACTTAAGCCTAAGGATGTACTTGCCCTCAAATAAATAAATCTTTTCAGTGACTGAAGTAAAATGAAAAAAAAAATAACCCTGTGTCTGCCTTAAACCATCAATCGCTAATTTACTGTGGATCATGTATGATCAAACAATCATGTTTTATTTGCTGCTGTTTTCTAATCTTCATTAACTAAATATAATTTTATATCAAGAAGAATGGCACAGTTAGGAATGAATGTAATTGTGTATAGCATAAATAGACAGAGCTCCCAAGAAGCATTCTCTAAAATATCAGATCCAGGTACAGATAGGAATTCTAAGTGCATAGGATACAACTGTAAATATATCTTGCAAGTTCCTAAAATTTAAAGAAATAAAAATTTTCCTTTCCATGCTTCCATATTTACAAAAGAAATCATTCTAAATAAGTGCTATTCAATAAAAATATGTAAAACACATACATAATTTTAAATTTTTAGTTAACACATTAAAAAGTAAAAAGAAACAGGTGAAAATAATTTTATAATACATTTTATTTAACCCAATATATACAAATATTATTTCAATATATAATCATATAGAAATGTATTGATCATTTACATCCTTTTTTGTCTTGTATCGAGACTATGAAATCATCTGAGTATTTTACATTTACAGCACATTTCAGTTTGCACTAGTCACATTTCAATTCCTCAAAACCCACGTAGTTAGTGGCTACTGCATTGGACCAAGAAAGTGCAATTTATTGCTTCCACTGAATCCAACATTTTGTGAATATTGAGGACAACATAAGAGAATCATTAAAGTATGGTAGTTCCCACATATGTCCTTCAAAGTTCTTCGATTGCAAGTAATAGAATCCCACATGGACTTGCTTCAGGAATTTAGAAAAGAAAATTTATTACATGGATACAGAATTATCTCAGTGGTTCAGGGTAAAACTTAAAGTAAAGGCGGTCGGAAGCTACCCTAAACAACACCTTTCCCCCACAGCTAAAGGTAATGAGAGCAGACTTCATGAAGGAGGTATGCCAGGATTTGTACCTTGAAGAATGGTTAAGATTTGTATAGCTGGAGAAAAGGGGAGTAATGGGTAGTGAAGAAAACACAGCATGTAGAGGCAATCAGAAGTGGCGGTTGGACTTGGAGGCTAGTGTTAGAAAGAAGAGGGAGATGAGAACATTTAGGGTGAAACTGTGAGTTAGGGAACATGCAAGGCCAGAGGAATTTGGACTCTGGCACAGAAAGCTATGGTTTACCTCCCAGAAGGAAATAAGAAGTCAAAGAATTATTGAGATGCCTAACCTCAAGTAATTGCAATAGTAGTAGTAAGAGTAATAGTAGTAGTAAGAGCAATAGTAGTAGTAAGAATTAAAGTGAGAATGAGTTGTAACTGAAAAGGGAATGATATGAGGAAGACAAATATATCATTTCTTATGGACTCTATTAAAATAAATCCCAGAGACATCATGGAATGAGTCATTTCAATAAGTTGTTTTCTGAGAATATAAAGATGACCTTCTCTATAGCACACACTATTTTTTTATCATGTGTTTTTATGGGCAGTCATTAAAAACTGCTTCAAATATTAATGTCTATAAAGCATAGCATACTAAATATAATTTAAACTAAACAATTATAGTTCTTTTTTTGAACCCTCTTTTAGCATTAGGTACATGTGTTTTTGTTGTTGATGGTGGTAGGGTGAGTTTATTTGGTTGGACTTCTTTTTGTTAGTCATTCATTTGTCCTTGCCCAAAGGAGGTTCATGAAACAGCTATGTTTGTGGCCATCTCTCCTTTTCCCCATATGATCTAACTCCACCCTAGTGCCTCATCTCTTGTCCTCTGGCTGGGACCAGGTCCTCTTCTCTTATAGGTCATTTTTTCCACTTGAGTGCAGGATGCACAGAGATTATCCTTCATTCTCAGTTTTGGTGAGTATAGAAGGAGGAATGCCAATGCATAGAAAAGGACTGGCCTAAAAGAGAGGGCAGGTATCTTTCCTAAATTCTAGTGGTTCAGTTTGATTAGAGATTCCTAGAACCATCCCAGTGGACTAGATTCTCAGATATCTGGGATTTTATTACAGGGATAAAAATGATGCTGATAAGAATTAACAATGCACTAACATCTCTCTGTGACATACATGAAAGTAACATTGCAAAATCAGGTTTTCCATGATTCATGGAGGATTATGGTTTAAGCAATGTTTGGTTGTGTGGGTTTACTCTTGTGACAGACATAGCTTTCTAATTTCTAAATATTCATTTTGTTTTCATTATGTATCTTTTTATTTGTATATATGGTAAATATATAATAAATAATTTGCTTCTTGTAGAGTTTGGAGGATAACATCAAAGAGATATTTTAGATTGTGTTGCATTTAATAATTTTCTTAAAACTTAAAAGCAAAAAACCCACATTCTTAAAATTTAAATAATGCAACTATCTCTACCTGAAATTAAGATTTTAAGTCTTTTGAAACTTTTTCTCCGAAAAAAATATACATTCTAAAACATTATTTTCCAGGAACTTGCCCAAAGGCAAAACATGAAATAAAACAAAAGACTGAGAAAATACAGTATTAAAGGGCAAATGGTGCTGAGGGAAGACTTTCATCTAGATGAGTCACAAAGCTTTTGACATAGCTAAGTAAATCTAGGTTGACTTGCTCCTCTAAATGAGTATTTCAAATGGAGTAATGTAGTAAGAACTTTTCTTGAGCTCATTCCACCTGGAGGTATAACTTTGGCAACTGTTTTTATAACATGTTTCTTTCATAATGAACAATCAACATTTTTGCTGTTAGCGCTTCACCATATAACCTGCATACACATACTTTTGGGATCATTATAAAGTCTCTAAGATCTAATTTTGACATTAGCCACAGATAATGAATTTACTTTGATATGTCTATACTAATAATCTTTATCTAGAAGTTAATTGCTTTTTAATATAAGCTTCAACCAAGCTCTAGTAGAAGATTAGCCAGGATTTCTATTATTTTTAAACAAATGTCTTTGTATCTTACTCCTGTGATTTTTTATTTTTTATTTTAGCATATTATGGGGGTACAAGTGTTAAAGTTACATATATTGCCCATGTCCCCTCTCTCCTCGAGTAAGAGCTTCAAGCATGTCTCCTGTGATTTTTTTAAAAGCTAACATTTTATATTCTCATTTATTTTTTGATTCTGTATTTTTCTCATATTAATATGGTGAGAGAAAATAAGTGATTTGCTTCAATACTAGAATATGAGGGATAATTGAGATGTCAGAATTCAGCTACCCTGGAAATCAATTTGAAATTTTAAATAAGGTTAAATTAAATAAGGATTCCAAAATGTAAAAGTTAATAGTATTTTCTTGAATTTACATATTTAGTATATCTTAGGCCTGAAAGTCAAACTCTGAAATGAGTATCTATTAAGGATTTTTTAAAAAAGAAAATAACTAACCATCACGAAAGCATCCTAATTGGCATTAATAAAAGCATACCCTATTTCTATTGATTATATGTTCCTGCATTGAAATTTTTCAGTAATTTCAGAAAGCTACAGTTTCCCAAAAAGAATGTAATTTCCATTTGAAGGATTATTTCATTTTGTCAAATTATAATGTGACTAGTAATGAGTCAGTAAATTATTAATATAAAATGATAATCCAGTGGCCAAAAAGAACTAAATTTTTAAACACAGAAATTCTTAAACAAAGAGAGAATATGTTTTTTAACAATATTTTGAGTTGCTGTTTTAAAATATGATTTTATTTATATGATTGATAGTATCTTTCTTTTATTAGACAATTAAATGAACTTTTCTAGCGTGATCAAATCCAGGCTCAAAGTCACTTAAGAGTTAATTCACTTCTAAAATTAAGTAATTTATGTTATCTCAGACTAATTAAGTTGCTGATGAAAATAATGGGTTGTTAATGAATTGTGACATAGCAACACTTTAACTCTTAAATAAGTGAATCAATTTTTACCACTGTACAACATATGCCAGTCACATTTCTAGCATTTCACAAGAAAATTTAACAGTCTGATTAAGATGCAGTTACATAATAAGTCTTGAAACACTCTTTGCTTAACTTTACAGAATAAGTCTGAATTATGTTATTCATGCCAATTATATATTGAATTCATTTGCCTAAAATTAGATCTCAATGTTTCCCAAAGAACAAAGTTAATTGCAGAAACTAAAATGTGTATTAAGTCCCTTCCCTTGGTTTTTTAAAATTGTTTGTGAAAAGGAAAAAATAAACATCTCCATTGCTATAAATATATAACCAAATTTATGGCTGGCTTTTCCACTGTTTCAGCTAGTGAAAGTGATTATATATATAAATCAAAAACAGAAAGAGAAAAAAAGACCTTCCCACATCTAAAATAATTTCTTTTAAAATGAAGATTTAAGAGAGATTATTACTCATTTTTATAATTTTTCTATGTATACAAATTAATGTTAACTAAATTTCCTCTCCTTCTCAACAAACACAAGTTATTCCAGTGTTACCTTTTTCTTTAAAAATACCTTATTAGGCCAGGTACAGTGCCTCACATTGTAATCTCAATACTTTGAGAGGCCAAGGCAAGAGGATCACTTTAGGTCAGGAATTGGCTTAGACAACATAGTGAGACCCCATCTCTACAAAAAATTAAAACAATTAGCCAGGTGTGATGACATGTGCTATTCAGGAGGCTGAGGCAGGAAGATTGCTTGAGCCCAGGAGTTTTAGGTTACAGTGAGCTATTAATATGATCGTCCCACTGCACTACAGCCTAGGCAACAG